TAAATAATATATTATACTCTTAATATGCATATACCATATAGAGGATATCTACTATCTATAAATTAGATAATTTGCTTTATGTTTTTTGTCATTAGAGTTTTTCACTTACTTTAACCGAAAATAGTAAAATAAATTGCAACTAATATTATGATGAAGGTTCACATGGTATAGGCATGATATGATACTGATTGCAGTTGCATAAGACTTATAATTGCCAACAGCTTAATATATTGTCAATGAATAAAATCTTTTTAACGTTGCATCTTTAAGAATAAAGAAATTTGAAACACTAAAACTAACTTAAACTATTTATAATTTCCATTAGATATTAGAGCAAGCTGTCATACTGCAGCCATGAGAGTTTTCTCTAAATGCATTTCAACTGATCAGAAACAGAATTTATATTTTAGTTTGCAAATGAGCAATCAAAATTTGAAATTTAATTTACGATTTAGTATGAGCATTTAGCTTAATTTAGTTAATAGAGTCATGCTAACAATTTGATGCTTTTAGCAGTGTCTTGCGATCGGACTCACCTTGTGCCGTGGCTGTACTGCTGGGGCAGGCGCAGCAGGCTGCCGTACTGGGCCATGTTGTGGTGGTAGGCGTGCGCGTGGGCTGCATGCGCATGCGCCGCATGCGCGTAGGAACCATAGTGCGCGGCGGCCGCATGCGGCACCCAGGGATCTGCGGCGTAGCCCGAGTCTGTCGCGGTGCCGTACAAGTCGCTAACCTGGATGGGTCGAAGCGGAGAGATATTGCCGATGGGTGAGAGAGAGAGAGAGCAAATCGAATTACAACTTATTTTGCGAATGCGTGCCGCAGTTGCAAGAGCCGAAGGAGTTGGGTAATTGCGGCACGTATCGCACTTAATCGTTTCGGCTTTTCGGCTTTTGTGGGCAATTGTTTATGCAGCCGACACTTACCTGTGGATGCGTGGGGGCGGGTATGGGATGCACGTAATTGCTGTTCCAGAACGATGGTGGGAAATTGCGACTCGACATTGGGCTGCTGCCATCTGCAAAGAGAAGAGATCGAAAAGCATGAGACTCAAACCAGTTGCCAGTCGAATCGGCCGACTCTAATAGGCCAAAACTCGAGGAGTGTAGCCATCCCCATTTCCCATTCCCCATTCCCCACTCCCCATTCGCCATTCAATTCAAGTGCATAATGATAAAGTGAGCAGCAGGAGCAGCAAATGGCTGCTGAGGGAGCCACGTACTCGACGTGTTGTGTCGTCGGCGCCACGGCTTGTTGCAAATAACTGAGCGGAATGTTTGTTGTCGCTGCCCTGTTCAGGATCATCACTTGTATTAAATGGTTGTAAATCTACGCGCTTATGAAATCGCAAAAGACGAACACGCAGACATCTCCATTATGTGTGTGGAGTGTGTGGAGTGTAATGGAGCTGCTGCTGCTGCTGCTGCTGCCGTTGCCTCTTGAAAATTGTTGCCGAAAATAGCAACAACTTTTGGTTGGCTGACTGGCTGGCTGGCTGGCTGGCGTCTGTGGCATGCATGCATGCATGCACATGTGCCAAGGACTGCAACTGGGGACAGCCACAGCCATATCCACAGTCAGAGTCAGAGTCGTAGTCGGAGGCACAGTGCATAGGCGCATTTGCGTTGACAACATTCCAAACTCAATTCAAGAGAAAAATATATACACAACAACTGCACAACTGAGTCGCCGCTAGACTCTTCATCGAGTAGAGGCGACTGCTCCTGAGGGTACGCAGCAGCTTTGAGGATATGCAGCGAAGCAGCCGTCGCGAGTCACAAGTCGCGACTTGCCACGGCACGTTGTGAGTGTGCCTTGAATGCTGATGATGTGGCTGAGTTGGCTCTTGCCTCATGCCTCATGCCTTATGCCTCATGCTGCTTGTCTCTTGGCTGACTGACTTGGTTGGCTGTATAGCTGCTTGGCTGCTTGACTGCTTGGTTGGTTAGCGATGCCGCGTGCCCCATTCAGCTGCGCAGCCTGCGCAAAAAAGTCGTCATCGTCGCCAACTTTGAGCATCATTCACTCACTCGCCCCACTGACGGTCAGGAATTCCCATTAATGTGCAAACAAGCAGCAGCCAGCCTCAGCTGCAGCCAGATTTGACAAACACTCTCCGTCCGGCCGCCCGACCGCCCGACCGCCCGCATCGTTTTCACTTTCATTCTCAAAGCGAAAGCCGCCAAAGTTGAGCTGCTGCAACTGCTACCTGTGCAGCCGTTCACCTTTCACCTGATCTAATGAAGTTGCACACGGCAGATAACAGTTAGCTGATAAGCGCAGATCACAGGACACACACACGCACACGAGTCCTTTGTCCTTTGCTGGCCAGCGCCTGCCTTAATATAGGCCTGCTTAGGGCTCGGCCGGCATCTGCGTCAGCGGCGGGTGCCAAGGAATTTTAAATCGAATTCCTTAAGCATCTAATTAAATGCTCGCAGCACATTCGAATATCATATGAAAGTGCCACAGAAAAAGGAAAAAAGAAAAAAAAAAACTGGGGGCCCCGCACTACAACAACAGAAGCAACTGCAACAACAACAACAGCAACAACAGCTGAAGGCTGCAGCTGAGAACGTCTCGGGCCATCTACACATTTTCTCTCGATGTCGATGATATTTTAGGAGCAGAACAGAAGCCACAACAACTGAAAGTGCAAGCGTGCCACACACTCTACACGTGTGTGTATGCATGTGTGTGTGTGTGTGTGTGTGTGTGCCATGCGAGTGTATCTCGAGTGAGCAGTTAATTGAAATGCATTTTAAAACCGTAATGAGGAATCTATGCGGCATTCGGCATTGGCACCGCCAGACGAACCGCACAACAACAACAACAACTACAGCAGCAGCAGCAGCATCAGTGAACAGCAACAACAACAACATCGACCACATCGCATTCCGGCGACATTTTATAGCACATTCCAACTAGATATATATCTATATATATATACATGCATACACATATACATATGTATATATGTACATATATACACACATACATACATATATATATTATACATAAACAACAACAAATAGCTGCACATCGCAGCTACAACGAGAAAAATCTATATAAATATACTGAATAGTTTTTAAAAGTGCGCACATCAATGCAAAAATCACTGTCTGTGAATGTGTGTGTGTGTGTGTTAACCACTCAAATAGACAAATGGCCAAAATGAACTTTAAATACCATTAAGTAGCGTCACAATAAAGCTAAATAAAAAACCAACAACAACAACAACTGAAACGTGAATAAAGTTTTTTTGTTTTTTGTTTCGTGCTTTGTTTTTATTTTATTTTATTTTTATTTTTTTTCAAATATATTTTTGTTTTGTTTTCTTTACGTTTGAATTGCGCAAGTTTCACAGCTTGCTCAGTCGCTGAGTGGTTTTGTTGTGGCTATACATTAGCTAAACTAAAATAATTTAAACAATCCCATTTGATTTTAACAATATTAGTTAATAATTAGATTTAACATTTCTGAAGCTCTGCAAGTCTTACAGATTGAGAATTTACTTTTCAGTTAATTCTTTTACAATATATTTTTATGTGAATTTATTTTGGCAAATTCACGTTACTAAAGAAAAATCATTAAAGTTGCTGCGTTTCATATTTTTCCTTGTGTGAATTTTTCCAACTATTTAATTTAGTATATTAATAAAACTTGAGTAAATATGAAGACAAATATTTTAAATATATATAGAGATTTAATAGAGATATGCAGCCTATGCCCAGAAGTACTCGACAATTGCCCCATTCACAATCAAATAGCATAGGAAAAATGATTGAGAAAATTAAAATTTTAAATAATAATTTTATAATTTATGCACTGCACTACTTCTTAACTATCATAGTCACAATGAATATAAATGTTGTCAAATCACTTTTGCTTTCTAAAGTCTTTTATAATGTCTATAGCATCACGTCATATATTAATTATCAAATTGAGAATGCATTGAGACAGATTATTTTGAATAAAAATAATAAAAAAATAAATCTACATTTTTCAAATATAATTATAGCCGACTTTTAGAAAGGGCCAATTGATTATTTTTGTCAAGGAGCCAAGTCCCATTTATATATTAGAAAATTCTTTAGTTATGATTACAATTTTTTAATGGAAGAAGTTTTAAATTTAGGATATAGTTCAGCTCCTAGGTAATTTTCTAAATAAACGATAAGAATATGATTTCCTCGATAATATTCTAAGAATTATTCTCATTAGAAACATTAGGCTTATCTAAAAAGTAAAGTCCGAATCTTTCAGAATTATGACCACGATGATTTAATTGAAATTTATATTGATATATTGATATTATATTAATTCATGAGAATTCTATAATTTCTTTCCCATATGCTCTCTCTAATTTCTTTGCTATAAGATCCGTTTCCTCTTCTTTATTCATTGTATATTCTCCATTTTCTTTTCTTTGCTATTCTATTCTATTCTATTCTTTTCTTTATATTCTCCATACTCTATTACCCGATTTTCTATTCCAAAGTCTTCTCATATAAAAAGATAATTGCCAAAAGATATTTTACAATTAGTTAAACCCGCATTGTTCAACAATTTCATCTAAATGAAATCTTAAATTATACATGTTGACTATACCACACCCACACACCCATACACACAATCTCTTTCAGGTAGCTCAATGATATTGGAATAGTGATTGAATCTGATTGGATTTATTCAGGCAATATAAACGTGAATTTGCAATTAAAGCGCGTGTCGAATCAAATTTTACTGAGCCAAAAATTGCGCAATCAAAGCGTCAAACTGTGAGCCATATCTACCAAAGCCATTGTCGCTCCCCCTTCCACAGCCAGCCACCCACCCCCTGCACCAACACACACCCCTGCTGACTGCCTCCTGGCGAATTGGCAGCCACAGAAACTCAATAAAAGGCAGCGGAGCATTTAATGCGACTCTACGATTGCGATTCCGATTCCGATTTCGATTGCGACTGCGATTAGCGGTAAAAAGAAATAAAGCCACAAATTGTTGAACTGCTCGTTTATTGGCCAAATTTTGTGGTTGCTGCTGAGCTGAGATGGGCTGAGATGAGCTGAACTTGAACTGGAGGAACACGTACCAAACATAAACATTACCTGAACGACCTGCTTAGCATGCAAATGTCTCTGTGTGACGACCAAACAGGTGCTAATTGATAGATTGAGCAGAATATGCAGCTATTGATGAAAATTTATGCGCTTGTTAAATTAGTTGGACTTCAAAATATTTGTCAATTATTGAATAGACACTTTGAAGCGAAATGGATAACTAAGAGTAGGAATTTTAAATATGAGCAACTTAGAAATTCTAATGACAAATATATATACATATTTTACATTGTTCCACAGTTTTATAGTAATAAAATAAAATTTTAGCAAGTACACAAAAGTTGGATATTTGCAAATCTTGTTGATTTTAGTATCACGAAATTAAGTATGATTATAGGTGCTGCAATCGTTGAGTTTTGCAGAAGAATAACTCCAAACCTCTTCAGCAAAGAGACCCATGATTAATATAGTTTTCATATTGCGGAATGGTGAAATTCGTAATTATCGGTATAATTATTGAAAAGTGACAGTAAGCATGAGTAGGACCGAATTGACAAGTAGACAGAATAGATAACTCCTCAGGCCCCAGAAAATTGAAAAAAGTCGTTTAACATTTTTAAACATTCTTATGCAAAAGGGGCCCCCAAATGGATATACCTAGACAGCGCTATAAACATGTAACTTTATTCATAAATGTTTGTTTGGTGACCAGAACTACCATTCGGATGCTATAAGTGGAGGGAGCCGTTATAACTGGATTACTGTACTGTTTTTATTTCAGTAATTGAACCTAAGTAAAATATCCATCATACCATCCGCATGTATGTAAAGTAGGGCTGTTTGCCACTGTCTCTTTTATTCTACCCCTCTTAAATGTTGGTAAAATATTCATATTAAGAAACTGCGGCTCAGTTCGAGTTTTAGCAACTTGTTTGAGGTTTGCCACAGCTTTAAAATTTGACTGAAAGTTGTCAAAGCATTTTCGCAAGCCGCAGAGCACATGTAGTACTTGGTGTTTCGTTTAGTTTGTTGTGTGTTCTAAGCAGATGCGAGCACAAAGAATTGCATACAATTTAAAAATAAAATGAATATGAAAGAGCGAAATGCGAGAAGCGAGAGGCGAAGGAGAAGCTGCACGACAGGCCACAAAAGCTGACAGGACAGAGAGATGGGATAAGGCATGGCGAGAGGGCGAGAGGGCGGCTGGTTGAGGGAACGGGGACAAGCATGAACAAACAAAACGTTTATCTTCATTAAAGGAGGTAATTAATTTTGAAATCGAAAGAACAAGCGAGTGGCAAGTGGCAACTTGATTTATTTGGTTTATTGTGCGACGCAATGGCATTCGGCACTGCGAATGGGGCAAAACTGCAAGGCGAGGGCCAGCGGAGGGAGGGGGAGAGGGCGTCGGCTGCATTGTCTGACTAAAGGCAGACAGACGCTGATCATCTCTTGTAAGCAGCAAAGCAAAGCAGCAGACGCGAGGTTCATTTGAATAGTTGCAAGGCGAGGCAAAGCGAAGGAGAACAATTTCTATGTCAACTGAGAGAATGGGACGGAATCTAATCGGATCATAGTTTGAGTTCAGTTCCAATTTGAATTTCTGAGAAGCGAGCGTAGGCCTACTTAATGGGCACTTCCCATTGCCATTGCCATTGCCAGTCCCATTCCCCATTCCCCACTTCATTCCGAATTGCACGCGACATTTTAATAACTCGCTCTGATTCCTGGCTAATTATGAGATTTTGGCCTGGGCTCCGGCTTGATTCCCTTGCCGATTCCGGGTAATTGCGAACGCCAACACGCAAACTGACAGCCGGGACAAGTACATGACATGTGCGGCTCTTTTGATCAGCATGTAAATGCCGAGTGTGAGTCGAGGGGGGGCGACTGGGAGTGAGTGGAGCCAGTGTGTGCACCTACCTTTTGTTTCCTTATTGCTGTAGTTGAGCGCCCGGGAGAAGTGCTCGTCGACCACGCTGGCCGTGTCGCCGGAGTAGTTGGTGAATACAACGCAGGTGGCCGACAGATATTGAGCGCGTCCTTGGCTGTTGCTGCCGCCGATGCCGGTCAGGCCGCCGCCTCCGCCGCCACCGGCTCCTCCGCTGCTGCTGCTGGTGTCCAGTGGCAGCTCCTTGGACATGGCGCCCGTGGCTGAGCCGACGCCGCCCGCGGATGCTGGCCCCGTGCCGTGCAGCGAGTGCGGATGCGAATGGGCGTGGGAGTGCGCGTGCGAGTGCGGATGCCGCGGCGAGTCCGGGCCAGAGGAGCAGGATGATTCGTTGTGATGATGCTGTTGGGAGCCCACCAGGCGCGCTGCAAACAAATTCATATATGTATATTCATTCAAATATTTCATTATTTCAATGACAATCATAGAACGGAGCGGAGGTGCGAACTTCATTGCATTGCTGCATTGCTGGCTGCCTGCTGCCTGCTGCTGCTGCATTTCCGCAACAAAATATGATATAAATTATTAAATGTTAACTCGTCGGAATGTCGGCGAGCAATCTCAAAAATGTGCAAATTAATTAACCAATCTCGCTATCTCTCTCTCTCTCTCTTTTACATTCTATACATATAGATCTCTCTCTCTCTCTCTCTCTCACACTCACTCACTCACTCACTCGGTCACTCCATCACGTTCTTCGGTACATTTAAACGGCAGCACATTCCTTCAGCCATGGCGCACAATCGATCTTCGCTGCTGTCAGCCAGCAATGTGAATAAACATGCTTATTTTTATTGGATTTATCGCTCGCTAAGCTGGATATTAAAAGCATAAATACACATGTATATCACTATCGGACAATCATATAAATAAATACAATATATCTGTGAATATTTTTCAGGTATATATAAAAGTTCCTTTGGCTATGCAGAAAACTAAGTTCTAGGCTTTGCTGCTCTTTATATATGTACATATACTGAAGTGCTAGAAAAACTAGGATGGAACATATTATAGAAATTATAAGTATTATATTATATTATTTAGAAATTCATAAAATTTAAATAGTTTTTAAGTCTGCTTTCATTTCATAGTTTCAATCGAAAATGCAATTTTTTTCCAACAAGCCAAAGTATCATCCAGCTAAACTCAAATCTACAAACAAATTTGTTTTTATATAGTATTTTACTAAATCGTTTTTTGTATTCATCGTATTATTTTAAACTCCAAATCTTTGTTACATTGTTCACCCTCAGTTTTTTAATTTCATTGTCAATTTAGTCTTTAAGAGGACTTTAAGATTTTTCTTGGGCTTCAATACCCAAATTATTTTAGGTAAAGTCTTAACAAAAATTAACTTTTATAAATTTATGTATTTATGTACATAATTTGATCTTTTATTATCAATTTCAGTTCGATTAGAATTTTAGGTAAGTTCTCAATATATTTACTGCGTGTGTGCTTTATATCAATATTATAATAAGCATAGCATTTCGTTGCACATCTATATAATATCTATATAATAACCAATCTATTTTCCATTATTTTCATGGGCCTGAATGACTGGCCTGTAGCAGGAATATTTGAACTCATTCTAATGGTATAGGTAGGTAAAAGTGTTTGCTATATATACGACTTCTATTGAAAAGACTTCACTCAATAAGGTCTTCAAATTCATTATAGATTCTATTCTACTTCATTAACTAATTCTCAATATATGACATATTATACTTCATACATTTCTGCTTTATTTCTTATCTTTTCCTAGACTTCTTTATATACTTTCTTTAACTAACGGATGAGACACATTTACATCTACAATATATAGTGTATCTATATAATGACATATATTATGCATTCCAGCATCGCAAGCAATGAATAAGAACTTCACCTTCCTCATCACCCGTTCACCTGTTAACAAAGTTCAGTTTAAGCTTACCTTCAGCTTCGCTGCGCGGCACGATGAGATCCTCTTCTTTGGTTTGATGTGTCCGGCTGTGCAGGCCGTGGCCGGGCCCGGCGCCGCTCAGCACGGGACTCATGCCGAGACCGGCGCTGGAGGCGCCGCTGCCAATGGGCAGATTAGAGCCGAGCAGTCCGCTGGCCGGTCCGCTGCCGACGCCGACGCCAACGCCCACACCGCTGCCGCCCACGCCGCCTAGCTGCAGGCCAGAGGAGGAGGCTTGATTCGCAACGGCCGCAACGGCTGCAGCCGCCGAATTGTGGGCGGCAGCAACGGCCGCTGCCGCTGCATTGGCGCTCACCGAGGGCGGCAAAATGGGGCTGCAGGGGGAATGGGAGCTGCCGGAGGCGCTTGACGAGGCGGCCAGCTGCACGCCCGAGGACGAGTACAGATCCTGATTGAACTGAAAGGCATAGAAAGAGATGGCATTAGCTGAGCAGTCAGATAGTCAGAGAGTCAGGGAGTTAGGCACTTTGGCAGCCTAGATGAGTTATGGGCGCGTCGGTGCAAATTGAAAATGACACAATACGAAAATTTATGTTGATGGAAAATGTGCAGTGAGGCCATTAAATTTACGAGCGTTCGCATATTGTCACGCAGTTGCCCAGAAAATAAGGGCAGCTAACCCATTTTGGTCGGTGGGGGACGGTGGGGGGAGGGAGGTCACAGTCCGGAGACGTTCACAAGGCGATAATCACGCCGCAATCTCTACGGCTTGGCGACGTGTCAAACATAATGCGGCGCTCGAGACAATTTACGAGCGCGCTGCGACAACCCCCGCTCCCGCCTCCTCTCTCTCTCTCCACCACCAGCCAACGCCTCTGTGAACGTTGCACCTTCCCGACGTCTGCTCGCCTTCGCTTCTCTTTAATGAGCCCATTAGCGCAAGCGTTCTATAAGTGGCCGATAACCCCGCGACGGCACATTTGCGAGCAAACGCTTCTAAATTTAAAGCAGCCTCGCCCACGCCCAGGGGCGCAGGCCAATTATGAGACAGCCGAGGGGTTAATAATGGGTTAACCAGCACGATCCATTTGAAAAGTGCAGCGCAGGCATCGACAGCAGCTCGTGGCTACCGAATCATGATTTATGTGCAGCAGCACAATGCGCCAACTGGCGAGAGGGGGAAGGGGGATACATTCCAGCGCACTGCCAGCAGCGGCTGACACAGTTGCTGCGACAGCTCACTTTATGCTGCTGCGGCCTGTTTACAAAAAGTCTTAATTTGTTGTCACGCCCCCCGCCTCCGCCTCCGCACCCACTCCACCTAGGCAAAACTAATTAGATAGGGCAAAAGTTGCATCGTCATCGAGCAGGACTCGGCAAGGCATCTCTCTATATCGAGCTCAGTCGTCTGCATCTGTATCTGTATCTGTATCGATGGCAATATCTGGAGACGTCAATCGGCTTTAAGCACATAATCAATATGTTGCCGCCTGGCCGCTTATCGGGCGACACGATCGCTGCCCGGCCAAGTGCAGTAGCCGACGTGCGAACAATGCGCAGATACAAAATTATCTGGGAGCAACAGCAGCGACTGCAGCTGCAGTTGATTTTTGCTTTTTCTCTGTTTGTCTGTTATTAGCTGCAGCGATATTTCGATTATGCTGAGCGCTCAGCGAGCGGCTCACACGGCATAAATCACCTGGCTGTGGCCTGTGGGGCAGACGAACCTGCGACATCTCTGACTCCAGCTTCGGCCTGTTTGCCGTTTGTTGTTTGGCTTATCGCCTGATCACTGTGTCGCCTGAGCCTGGACGCGCTCTGGCTGTGCCGTTTTGAAGTGCTCGGCAAGAACTAATGGCGATACACACAATAAATTAAGAGAAAGGGCACACACAGACCCAACAGAAACCCCAAAAAAATACAAGAAGGCAAAGTGTCGACGGGACGACAAAACTGCTCGGCCGCGCTTTGGAGCCTGGGCAAATAAACCGGTCACCGGTCAGCGGCAAGCGATCAACGATCAACGCTGCGGTCAGCAGGCTGGCTGCTGACTCAATCTGCGATTGGCCAGCCGAAGCCAGGCTCTCTCTCTCACTATGTGCGTGCGTGTGTGTGTGTAGCTGGATCTTTTTTGAGTTTATCTGGACCTCTTTATGGTCATGCAAAAGCATAGAATCAGAATCGTGTCGTATCGGTTACTTACATAAAAGGCCAATTTCGATTTGGTGCCGCGGCCTTGTATAATTGGAACTTGCGACACAAGAATTTCTTTGTGCCACAGCGACAAGCTCCCAGCAGCCGAACGCAGGACAGGGCCCAGACCCAAGTCCAGGCACCCAGACCCAAGACACAGAGCCAGCAGACCCACAGACAGACGCAGTCCCAGTCCCAGACCCAGTTTTAGTTTCAGTTTCAGATTCAGATTCAATGCGAATGTCCCTTTTGGGCAGAACTGTGAAGCGCTGCTGGCATCGTGAGAACTTTTCTGTACTTGTCACACACACACACACACACACATGCACACGCACACAAAAAATCAACAATATCTTCGAAATCAATGTTAGCACTAAAAACAACAACAACAACAATAAGAAACAAAGCGACATTTGCTGGCGGAATTCCTTGAATCTTCAACTGCTGCTGCTGCTGCTGCTGCCTCTGCTGCTGCTGCGTCCACATCGAAAAACGATTTGCGTTTTGCGTGAATTCTTATGATTTGTTAGGTGGATTTAATTATACCTACTCGCCATCCCTCTCACTCTCTCCCTCTCTTTCTCTCTTTTTCTGTTTCTGTCTGTCTCCCTCTCTCTAAATGTGCCAATGTCCAATGCCCTGCGTTTCGAATTGTGCGTGTTTATAATTAGTATGTTTGCTCACATTTAATCAACTATGATTAATTAAAAAAACACACACAAGTCACATTGAGGTCATCTAGCATCTATATGCAATTAGTAACTATAACTTTTTACCTTGATACTAGCCTTATATATGCCCTGCTTCAGTGGCGCTAAACTAATAAACCTTTATATATAGAAAACCCAATTCTAATGGATTCAGAGTGCCTATAGAGCCTTATTATATTATAAAGTTTCATTGAATAATATATATATTTTTTTTTTAAATTCAATATTTTAATGTGTGTAAAACTTGGGCAAAATATTATTAAATAAAGTATCAAAATAAAAATTCGATTAAATTTCGGGCTTTGAATATTATTTATATTGAATCAGATATTGCATACCAATTCGTTGTTTTACTAATTTAAAATATTTAAGTGAATACAATAAAAAATTGATATGCACTTTCTGATTAAATATAAATATTATTCAAATTTTGAATTTAATTTCGATTGAATTTCGATTTTTTATCCCCTTTAATTGCAGACATTCTTAGGCCGTCAAAAAATACTATCTGGAGCTTACACAAGAGCATTTATAATAATATATTTATAAATTTAAAATATGTATTTAGTATGTATTTCAGAAAATTTGAGCTTCAGAATTCTGTCATAAATTTCGATTGTCTCGTCAGACTTTATTATGTAAATAGAAAAGAAAAATTGAAATACTTAAGGCATATTTAATGAGAATTTTATGGACAAAAATAGAAATTGCTTATTTGTTATTATTAAATAGAAAGTATTCTCTATTACTTTGATTCTCTATTCTATGTTCTAATGATTTCCTATTGTCTCTTAATTCAAATTGCATATTGCACAAATAAATGTAAAAGAAAAAGTATGGGTCTTCCATAATTTATTATCATAATTAATTTTTTTTTTTTATGCTAAACGAAAAAATATTGAGTCAAATCTAACTAGTTCTGTCTGTCAATTTCTATGAAAGCTAATTTCAAATTAAAATTTAATAAATAATACTCAAAATTATCGTTGTTATTATATTTAGAATATTTGAAAATTTTAATATGGGCATTTTAACACTCTTTATCTCTTATAAACTTTGTTTTTTATTGGCCTTGAATGAGACTATTGACCTGCTTATTTCTTATCGAATTATTTGTACCTATTTGGATCTATTTATTATTAACAAATATCCTAGAATAATATATATTAATATAAAGTGAGCCCTGACTCTAAAATAAAACTAGAGCTATAGCTTTCAGGCCTAAAGTATCCAAAAGACAGATAAAGCAGCAAATGGCTTTTGAATATAAGATATGCTGGGAGGAACCTTATAAAGTCAGAGACTCCCATTTTCGACAAGGAATAGAAATGAGCCAAATCGTATAAACAACCTAATGGTAAGTCAAGTATGTCAATCAAGGATAGTTTGTAGCATACGGTAAAAGTCTTTGAATGAACAGAGGGTATAAGACACAGGGTATAGGGCATAGGGTGTACAGGTCTTATATTTTATATGGAATATTATTATTATATAGCTAAGCGTTAAAAGTTAAGAGTCAAGACAACTTACCCTCTCATATTGATAAAATGAACGACTTGGTCCTGCGCGCCCATACAGATATGGATAATAGGCACCGTACATAACTTCTGGGCAGGACACTGCCATCGTCGCAGTTGCAGTGGCCAACAACGCACTCAAATCCCGATCTGTCGATTGAAATTTGTTCGCACAGGTGTATATTATAATGAACGCACGTACACACACACACACACAGAGCAAGAGCGAGAGAGACAGAGAGAGAGAGATCCACACACGCACAACACTAATCACAGTAATCACAGTTTTCCGCGAGCTTTTGCCACAAATTTTCAGTTTTCCTTTTTGCTTTGACAGCCAATTGCTATTCCAATTGCCGTTGGCCGTTTACTGTTTGCAGTTTTTCTGTTTCTGTTTCTGTTTTTGGAATCAGTTTTGGTCGCGCCCAGGCCTTAGCCACAGCTCGGTCTCTAGGCCGACAAAGACGAGAGAGCGAAAGAAACAAAAGATCAACTCTTAAACTATATTCGCCGTGGAAGTGGGATGAGGCGCAGTTGAGAGAGATGGGGTACAGAGTAATTATAAGACCGGTTCTCTCTAGTCGACTTGCAGTGTGCGTGCTCTGTTGTTGTATTTGTATTTGTTACTGTATTTGTGTTTGTCTTTTTTGCCAACTCCGTTGGCAATGGCGAATTCCAGGAATGAAAACTCCGCTCGGCTAATTATATTTACATATTGTAAAACACCATCGCGTTTGTATCAAGAGCTTTAATTACTTTTTGTCTTTACTTATTTTTTTTATTGTTGTTATTTTTGTTGTTGTTATTTTTGGTTTTCTTTTGTTTGCTAAGCGAACTTCTTTCGATGAATTTTCCTCGACTTTTTTCTGCAGCTTTCTTCAACCGCTTTGGCTTTGCTTCTATGCGCAGGCAATTGCAATTATCATTTCCACATTGTTGACTGCTGTTAGTTGTTGTTGTTGTGGCTGTTGCTTGTTTGATGTTGCTTGTTGGCTGTTGCTATTGTTATTATTATTGTTGTTGCTGCTGCTGCTGCTGTTGCTTTCCTGGCATCCATGATGGGGCCGTTCCCTTGTCCGAGTTTCCGTTGAAACAAAAAACAAAAAAAAGCGCTGAAAGACGGCAATGAAATGCATTAAAATTGTTGTCTTGCGTGAAATATACGAGTTCCTCTACACATAATTAGTTAACGTAATAGTGCAATAGAGATCCCTCTCAAAGAAATTTCACTATGCGCTATAACGGATCTGCTAAAAATGTTTATTCCTATATAGGTATATAGAGACATATATCTTTTGCATACCTACTTAACTAATTATCTAAGATATTTGCCTATTTTTGGTGTACTTCATATTTTTGAGACCTATAATGTATTTTGAGTACCGGCATCTATAATATAACAGTTTAACAACGCAATTTAATATTACTTTTGATAATATATGTGTACTTGTTCTATAAATAGATATAAAATCTACCGCAAATCTTCTTTCTGACAAGAATTTTAATATTTATCTAAATGTCTCAATTTATTCTGTCATCCAAATTTCTCTCAGCATTATATCAATGGTAAATTTTCAACAATAAATATATGTATATAAT